GCTATTCAGGAGGCTGAGGCAGGAGAATTGCCTGAACCCAGGAGGCGGAGGTTGCGGTGAGCTGAGATCGCGCCATTGCACTCCAGCCTGGGTAACAAGAGCAAGACTCTGTCTCAAAAAAAAAAAAAAAAAAAATGCAGTTATGTCAGGATTCTGCGTCTTTCTTTGCTCTCCAAAACCAGCCTGAGGCAGGCGGGCCCTCAGAGACTCACCGCATGGGGAGGACGGGGTGTGGGGGGGTTTCACCGTGTGGGGAGGAGTGGGGGTTCACCGTGCTGGGAGGACGGGGGTGGGTTTCACCGTGCGGGGAGGACGGGGGGGGGGCGGGTTTCACCGTGCGGGGAGGACGGGGCGGGGTTTCACCGTGCGGGGAGGACGGGGGGGGGGTTTCACCGTGCGGGGAGGACGGGGGGGGGGTTTCACCGTGCGGGGAGGACGGGGTGGGAGGGGGGTTTCACCGTGCGGGGAGGACGGGGTGGGAGGGGGGTTTCACCGTGCGGGGAGGACGGGGGGGGGGGGGGGTTTCACCGTGCGGGGAGGACGGGGGGGGGGGTTTCACCGTGCGGGGAGGACGGGGGTGGGTTTCACCGCGCGGGGAGGATGAGGATTTCACCGCGCGGGGAGGACGGGGTGGGGGTGTTCACCGCGCGGGGAGGACGTCCGGCGGGGGTGGTTTCACTGTGCTTTGACAGTTCCGCCTTGCATTGTTTCACCCCAGCCCAGAGCCGGTGGGTGGAGCTGGTGGGTGGAGCCGGCGTGGGCAACCCTGCCTGGGCCCACTGTGCGGGAACCAGAGCCCCAGCGTGGAGTTGACATTCCTGGAGTTTTTTCCTCTTCCTGAGAGTTTTACAGCCTCCTTGAGCTAATTCTCAAAACATCCTGTCGGGATCTGGTGTGATTAACAGTTGTGATTTTACAGCCGGGAGAAACTAGGAAAAGGGAATCCCGCTGCGGGGAGGGATGTCATCAGGGCAGGAGTGACAGAGACCCAGGTCCTGCCTGTTGGGGTTGGTGCAGGCAGGTGGGGGCGGGAGCCAGGCTGGCCATGTGCGGTGGGAGGACAGGTGGACACTCTGAAACCTCACATTCTGCCTCTCTGGAAGGTGGCACTGTGTCCCCAGCAGGTATCCCTTATTGAGTACCTAGTGTGTTCCAGGCTCTGGCCACAGCAGCTGTCAGCGTGAGGATGAACAAGCTCAGCGCATAAGCCCAGTGCCCGTACACAGCTCCCAGGCAGGAGGTGGGCCCTGCTGTGATGGCGGCCACTGTTACTGTTGTTATTATAGCAGCCAGTGACGCCTGCACAGTGTCACACTATCATTTTGGTCTGGGGAACCTAACATCCTTTCTCTTTTTGCCGGAAACTCTAGCTAAAGGGAAATCTTTTTCACAGTAACTTCTTGAAATAATTTGCACAGAAAGCACATGAGTACATCGAAACTTGTGTCCCTGGCGGTGAACTTCCCGCTCTTTGTGTATCAACCATTTTGTTACTGTTTTTCCAGTGACAGCCCCTCCCTGCCTGGGAGGGTGGTGGGCGGAGGCAGAGGCTGCCCCTCCACCAGGCGGCCAGCTGCGCTGCATGGCTGTGGGCACCTGCTGGAAAGGGGGCTCCACTCACTTCAGGTTTCCTGGCAAGTAGCTTCTCAGTTCAATTTATTGCTGCCTCCATTTGTCTCAGTTACCTGAGTCCTGGGGAGCCACACAAACTGTAGATGTGAGGAGCCCCTTCACAAAAGGACCGGCGGTGAGAGGGCGCTTCAAGACCAGATGTGTTTTTTTGTATCCGTTGGCTTTGGATTCCTAAAGCCTGAAAAATGGCTTCACCATGATGCTTCAGGCAAATTCAGTGCTACTGGGAGACGCTGCAGTCTCCTCGCTGTTCAGTTGAAGCCAAAGCCTCAGGGAAGCTGACGGAGGAGTCCGGTCCCCCCGAGCCCATGCGCCTCTGCTCTGCCTCCGCTATCCCTCCCACCATGGCCCAGCTCGGGTTACAGGGGTACCATTCAGCAGCAACCCCTTCAGACCTGTGTGCACTCAGCTTTGTCTTCAGGGCCACAACAGCCTCTAGTTGTGCTCCCTGAGGTCTGGCTGCAGGACCAGCTCAGGGAGCCAGGCGGATGGGCTGTCCGCACCTGCGTGTGGAGGGCCTGGTGACAGAATGGCAGCCCAGGGAGTGGGCCAGGTGACGCAGCTGCAGCGAGCCTTGCTGGGCCCCAGGAGCTCCCTGGCCAGTGCTCTTGGCCACACATTTGCTGTTGAGAATAATAGCGGCAGGATTTGGTGAGGTCCGCTCTGTCTGAGACCCCAGGTTAGGTACCTGTTCCACACTGCCTCTACTCCAACAAACAGTGCTACAAGCAAGAGTTTATTAGCCTCACGCTGCAAATAAACTGAGGCTCAGAGAGGTCAAGTCATTTGCCCAAGGTCACACAGCTAGTAAGTGGGGATGTGGAATGCCAACAGTCCCCGTACCCCTGCCGCCTGAATGCCCCACACCACACGGCCTCCCCATCAAAACTCCAGTCAAGAAGAGTATGTTACCTGTGGACGTTAGGCCAGGGCAGGCCCGGCACCACATCAGCTCAAATGAAAATGCAGCTGGTTTGGACAGTGGGCCACCAGCAGGTTACACCAAAGAGTCATTGACAGAATCCTCCAGTTTTATTTTTAATTATAAAAGTAGTTCTTACTATAGAACACACGAAAAGGAAAATTAATCCCAGAAACCATATGATGACACAGTAAATTTTTATAATGGTTTGTCTACCAAACTGACCAACATGGAGAAACCCTGTCTCTACTAAAACTACAAAATCAGCCGGGCATGGTGGCGCATGCCTGTAATCCCAGCTACTCGGGAGCCTGAGGCAGGAGAGTCGCTTGAACTTGGGAGGTAGAGGCTGCGGTGAGCCAAGATGGCACCATTGCACACCAGCCTGGGCAACGAGAATGAAACTCTGTCTCAAAAAATATCGCTTACAAAAGCAGTTTGGTAAGTAGTTGCCCAGAGACGGAGAGTCTACACCAAAGTGGTGGATGAAGGAAAAGGCCAGCATTCCCGATGCCGAACAAAGCCACGCCCACACAGCCGAAAGCTACATGCAAAGTCATACCAGTGCCCCGCAAAACCATGTGACCTGGCCACTCAGAGAGGGACACAAATTGAAAAAGGGCAGCATTCGAGTGAGGTCAGATATGACCAGGTGTCCTCCGGCCAATGAACAGGCGACTCAGCGTGGAGCCGGTGACCATGAGACCAACATTGCAAATTGAAAAAGGGCAGCATTCGAGTCAGGAGCAAGAGTGAGGACATGGGAAGCACAGAGTCTGCAGGGCACCTGCCTTGGTCACCACGTGTGGCATGCAGAGAACAAGGTTGCACCCAAACACTCCAGGCCCTGCTCCCCTCCCGCCACCTCAAGGTGCCATTACTAACCCAGCTGGGCTGCTGGACCCGGTTTTGCTGAGTGCTCTCAGCACCCTGTAAATCGAGGTTGTGTGGCACTGGGGTACACCAGACAGAGAAAGTATCCTTGTGGACCTGACTGTCTTCCTGGGAAGAGAGCGATTTAAGGGAGAAGAGACCGTCCCAAGGGCTCCTTGGAGAAAGCAAGGGCCGAAGAGGTCAACAGCAAGATCTGAGTAGAGGACTCAGATACCTGGCCAGTTCCTGCCCGGGAAATACTATGAAGAGTATGAAGAGGCTAGGCACGGCAGCTCACTCTTGTGATCCCAGCGCTTTGGGAGGCCAAGGCGGGCAGATTGCCTGAGGTCAGGAGTTTGAGACCAGTCTGGCCAACATGCTGAAATCCTGTCTCTACTAAAAATACCAAAAAAAAAAAAAAAAAAAAAAGCTCAGCATGGTGGTGGGTACCTGCAACCCCAGCTATTCAGGAGGCTGAGGCAGGGGATTTGCTTGAATCAGGGAGGTAGAGGTTGCAGTGAGCCAAGATCGTGCCACTGCACTCCAGCCTGGTGACAGAGTGAGACTGTCTCAAAAAAAAAAAAAAAAAAAAAAGTAAAGAGGAGGGAGGGAGAACAGGACCGCAGAGCACCACAGGTCCACTCCATGGGAATCTGGAGGCCTCTGCTCAGCTCCGTTGACCTAGTTTTAGCAAACACGCCACCACCTCGTGCTGCAAGGGCTGGAGATGCCAGCAGCTAGGGATGTGTCTCAATTAACATTGTCAGCCACATGTCAGGGCGTGACTCTGGTATGCAAGAAAGGTGGTATTTTATTTTCTTAATTCCAAGCCCCCTACCGTCCGGACTTATGGGAAATTCAACCCCAGTCATTAGTGGGCTCTTCTGCATGTCCAAGACTGGGCAAAGGCCCCAGAGCCTCACAAAGCAGAAGGTGCTGGGGAGACCTGTGGTCATCAGGCCAGTCCTTCCTGGGGGCCACCAAGCCACACTGCTCACCATCTCAAAAAACTTCAGAGCCTGGAGCAGAGGTGGGCGGTGGAATGCAGCTAGCATGAGTTAATGTTTCAGCAGGTGTCTTAGCTCTTAGCCTCCCCTGGCGGCCGTCACCAAGTACCAAAGCCTGTGTGGCTTACACAGCAGACATGTATTCCTTACAGTTCTGGAGGTGGAGGGCCAAAATCAAGGTGCTAATAACGAATCTGGTGTCTGGTGAAGGCCCTCCTGATTTGCCACCACCGTGTCCTCTCAGGGTGGAGAGCAAGTGAGCTCGGGTCTCCCTTCTAAGCACACTGTTCCCAGCATGAGGCTCTGCCCTTATGACATCGAACCCTCCTCACCTCCCAAAGGCCACACCTCTGCAGCTCCGGCAGTGTGCATTATGCAGGGCACACACGCATCCCATCATATCTTGAAACTGTCTTATGTCAGGCAGCCACTCCTTTTGCCCTGAATGAGTGCAAGCCCCTGGGCATGGCACATAGGGTCCAGTCCAGGGGCAGCCAGTGTGCGGCCGTTGTCCCAGCTCTCATGCTGAGCTCGCGTAGTTGATCAGACTTTCCTGTCTCCCGCAGTGCTCGTCCACCTGCGGGAAGGGGCTGCAGTCCCGCGTGGTGCAATGCATGCACCAGGTCACGGGGCGCCACGGCAGCGAGTGTCCCGCCCTTTCGAAGCCTGCCCCCTACAGACAGTGCTACCAGGAGGTCTGCAACGACAGGATCAACGCCAACACCATCACCTCCCCCCGCCTTGGTGAGTGTCTGGGCTGGCCCCAGTTCCCCGGGGCTGCTGTGTCCCCCACCCAGTGAGTCCTCCCGGATGCTGAGGTTCCTTCAGCCAGAAAGCCCCCCTCTTGGGCCCCACTTGTCACATGAGGCTGACATTTGTCAGTTCTGTTTGAAAGATGGGATTCCAGCCGGGCACAGTGGCTCAAGCCTGTAATCCCAGCACTTTGGGAGGCTGAGGCAGGTGGATCACGAGGTCAAGAGATCGAGACCATCCTGGTCAACATGGTGAAACCCCGTCTCTACTAAAAATACAAAAAATTAGCTGGGCATGGCGGCGCGTGCCTGTAATCCCAGCTACTCAGGAGGCTGAGGCAGGAGAATTGCCTGAACCCAGGAGGCGGAGGTTGCGGTGAGCCGCGATCGCACCATTGCACTCCAGCCTGGGTAACAAAAGTGAAACTCTGTCTCAAAAAAAAAAAAGATGGGATTCCATTCCTTGTTGTGAAAGTGGTGTCTGCATACTGCTGTCTCAAACACAGGACGCTAAGCGTCCTCCGCTCCCCTCTGCCCAACACAGGAGAATGTTCCGCAAACATCATAGGGTCCCTGTGCGTGAGGAATGTGAAGGGAAGTGCTTTTTTTTTTTTTAAAAAAAAGATGGGGTTTCACCATGATAGCCAGGTTGGTCTTGAACTCCTGACCTCGGGTGATCCACCCACCTCGGCCTCCCAAAGTGCTAGGGTTATAGGCGTGAGCCACCGTGCCCGGCCCATGGGAAGTGCTTCTTTCTAGAAATGAAAGATCCAGGAGCATCTTTGATGAGGCTGTGAGGACGAACACATGGGACACACCCTAGGCTGATGCTTGAGCAGCAGACAGGCGTGGTGGAGGGGCTGGAGACTCTGTGAGTGGTTTGTCCCTGGGTGCTCGGAACCTGGCTTCTTACCAGTCCATGCCCCAGCACCTAATGATCTGGCTGAGGGCAGGGGCTTATGCCTCTAATCCTAGCCCTTTGGGAGGCTGAGGCCGGTGGATCGCCTGAGGTCAGGAGTTCAAGACCAGCATGACCAACATGGTGAAGCCCCATCTCTACTAAAAATACAAAAATTACACAGCATGGTGGTACATGCCTGTAATCCCAGCTACTGAGGAGGCTGAGGCAGGAGAATCACTTGAACCCAGGAGGCAGAGGTTGCAGTGAGCCGAGGTCATGCCATTGCATTCCAGCCTGGGTGACAGAGCAAGAGTCCTTCTCAAAAAAAAAAAAAAAAAAAAAAATCTGATGTGATGATTCCTTCTAACAGAGTTTCTGCTTTGCTAAATTGAAATCCTGGAGAAATAATAAAGGGGATTTCTAGCGCCTTTGCTCCCGGGGTGGGGGACACCTTTGAGCTGGCAGAAGTGGAACTGTGGCTTTTGCGAGCGCGGGCCTGCTTGGTGACTTCCAGAGCCCTCCCTGGCACAGGGCCTTCTCTTGGTACAACCAAGACCCTGAAGGAAATTTGGGCCACTTGTGTGTACTTGGACCTTGTGCTTTTAGGGGTCCTTTGATGTCCACTGTTGCGTGTCGTCCTGTTTTATAAATGCTTACAGCAATGGTACCCTCGGCCACAAAACGGCAGTAAATGCCACTTGGCTCGGAAGCAAGGGGACCTGTGCCCTCTTCCCCGAAGAGGCAGCCAGACCACCATGCTCTCTCATGTGGTTGGGTTACAGATGCAAGGGTGTGTCCCTGTGACAGCAAGTGGCACCCCATGCCCTGGCAGGAGGCATGGCCTAATCAGTACACAGGGTTGATGTGTGCACCAGGTGAGGGAGCCCAGTCGGACACCAGCCCTCCCTGTGCCCTCCCTGACCCCAGGTGTTCTCTCTCTACTGTTCCCTTAGCTGCTCTGACCTACAAATGCACGCGAGACCAGTGGACGGTGTACTGCCGGGTCATCCGAGAAAAGAACCTGTGCCAGGACATGCGGTGGTACCAGCGCTGCTGCCAGACCTGCAGGGACTTCTATGCAAACAAGATGCGCCAGCCACTGCCGAGCTCGTGACGCGCAGCCCGGGGGTCGCCCAAAGCTCAGGCTCAAGGTCTGAAGCCTGGCACCCAGAGCACGGAAAGCCCGCCGTCCCCACCCCCCTCAGCGCACCAGCCCTGTGGCCGTGCCTCCCCAAGGCTGCCCCAAGAATCCAACCACCTAGAACATGAGCATGGACTTGACGTTTGCCATTAGTGCCTTGGTACTTAATATATTGTTAACAGCCACTGGATGGCTTTCTACAGCGAGGAAAAAATAGGTATGAGTCACAAAATAACTTTGAGATTCCAGGTACCTCAAAGGGAAGCACCTCTGGTGGACAATCGTGGAGAGAGACGACATTTGCTGCTCCTGTCTCGGCTTGCTTTTGACATTGGAACTCCCAGTGCTTGGTGGCTCATGGAGGAAACAGCCCAAAAATGAGACACGCTAACAGAGGCTTTATTCTGAAAGCCGGCGACACCCTGGAGGAAGGGGCAGGTGTTGGTGAGCCACTGTCCATTCCACGTTTCTCTTTATCCACCTTCTTGACCACGTGAGAATCAGGACATTGCCTCTGTGCCCAGCTCTGAAAACAGCCTCTAAACCCTGGGCGTTGGCCTGGAAGTCTCAGCCCTGAGTGTGAACATCTCTGCATGCCAGCGAGGACACCAATGCCACACAGTTCTCCACCCACCCATGGGCGAAGGACATCCAAGAGTGTCTGGGTTTGGGGAAGCACCTACTTTTTGGAGCACCGCTGTCTACCAAAGGAAAGCAGAAGGCCCTTTCTTCAAGGTGCTGTGAAACGGGAAACGCTAGTCACGGCCATGGGGTTGCTTCCTAAGGCAAAGGTGAGCTTGGGCCAGCTTTGTCGGGGCAGATGGGCACCTGCCCGCCTTCCTGGAGGTTCGGCTCTGGCCCACACTTCAAGCTTTGCACCTTAGAGATGCTGTGCCATGTCCCAAGGGCTTTCTACCAACCTTGGCCATTTATCTGAAGTTAGGACGACGTGTGGGACCTCTGAGGACGCAAGCCCAGGCTTAGGATCTGCAGAGCAAGACCTGCCTGCTCTACCCTGGCACGCAGCTCGCTTTCTCCGGGGGCCACTCAGCCTGATGCACCGGGACCAGGAGAGGAGCGCCATGCGGCCGGCCCTGCTGCACACCCACCGAGCCTTCCTGTGGCCCAGACTTTGGGGCACCCATCACCGTCACGGCTGTCATCGTTGACCCATCTTTTTGGTGGGGCAGGGACGAAGCCTGACGGAGATCCTGCCCTCCTGCAGCCCCTCGTGCCTCCTAGCTGAGCTCTGCCCTCTCTAGAAGCCCAGAGCAGTGAGCAGGACAGACTCTTTGAGAGCACAGAGGATGGCAGAACCCTGCCTGCCCCCAGGAGGCCTGTTTTGCTCACCAACTTGGTGGGCATTTCATGGGTGCTTATGTTCTAGGAACTTACCGTGAGAAACACCTCCTCCATGTTTTCAGACAGAAGGCTCTCTGGGGCTAATTTCCATGGGATCATCTCCAAGTGCTTGATTTACTGGTGCTGTTTGTGTTTTTGCTGTTTGTTTGATGTCACAACCTTAGAGTTAGCTTAAATCAGAAAGAAAAAGCTCTCTGCCCTCTCCACCCCGTCGTATGAGCTTTGCTGTTGTCATTACTACCCCAGAGGCAGAGAAGCGGTAGGGATGTCAGGGAATTTACTCACTTCCACTTGAAGCAATGAGAAGTGCTGAGAATCTTCCGTGGGTGCTCTGTGGAGAGAAATGAGTGTCAGGATGGAGTGACCCACCTCACCCCGGGGGCCTGTGCAAAATACTGTCCTCCCCCCTCAGGCCTGGCCACCAGCAGACTTCCCAAAAGCCCTCAAATTCTTGGGGAGCTGAGGTTCCATTTCCCTCATCCCCAAATGAACTGTTAATTCCACTGAAAGAAAGACTTCTGCAGCCACGGAGCAGAGCCGGGCTAGCTCGCTAAGGAAGCCTTAGCCCGGTCTCCTGCCTGGTCTGGGGGGCCTCTAAATACGCCCCCTGGCCACCCTGGCAAGGGCCTCATACCCTCAGAATGAAAAAGATTGATGGACTGACTTACTGTCAAACACCCCCTTAGCCCCCCAAAGTCTGCATCTTTGGAGCTCTTTTAGCTCATCTGGAAATCCACCAGCCCGTCTTCTGTTTTTGGCACGAGCAGTGATTTCCGTGAACCCATCATGACATTCTTTCCCACTAGACGCTGATCCCAGCAGTGATATTTCTGTATTGTTAATACCCTGTACTGCCCCTCAAGTACTGTACCTTTGTGCTTGCACACGTGTTACTAACTACAATCTCACGATCCGATGGTGCTATTTTTATTGGTGCAAAACGAAACCCTCTCAGTTGACCACGGCTTGATATGATCAGAACACAGGAAAAGATCCTCTATGGCAACACCATTGTTCTTTTCTCAGAGTCAAATGTATGTATTTTCCATTAGTTAACTTGCATTACATACTGTACCCATGGTATTTTTGTTTTACTTTTTGGTGCTGGTTTTGAAAGAAAAAAAAAAAGATGAACATTGGACGCCATTATACATGAAAAATTAGTCATATCATTGGAAGCAAGTTGAATATGTGTAATAAAATGTTTTTCCTTAATGGGTTTAAGCTGTCTATGAAGTAGAAGACGAAAGCCAGTCCTCACTGGCTGACGGGGAGGCAGTGTCCTTCCCCGCGGTGGCGGCCACCTGGCTTGCTGTGGAATTGGCTGCAGGGAGCCGCAGCCTGCTGGCCACAGCTGGGGTTGGTGTCAGAGGTCACTGGGAAATGCAGTTCTGGGGGGTGACTGCATCTCCCTGAGCAAGTGCTAACAAATCTTTCAGTCCTGGCCTCATCCCGTGTGGTTGCAAAACTGAGTGAGGACACGAGGGTCTGACCGTTGTGCCGTGAGCCTGCAGAGCAGCCCATGCTCCGGGACCTGTGCTGCAGAGTGCAGACCCTGGCCGTGCCGGCTGGACAGCCATGCTGAGCTCTCCACCCGCTGCCCCCACCTCTACAGCCCTGTCAGCAGCCCCCACAGCTTCCCTCTGCCAGCAGGTATGACAGAGGATCATGGCCCTGCACGTCCCCCAGCACTGGGGACAGCACAGGGGTGCCACAGTACCACAGTGGGAACAGACATGGCCACTGGGATCCCATCTCGGCCTGACATGGAGCAGGCATGTCAGACCTCACAGGGATGGGGAGGCCACCTCCTGGAGTCAGCAGAAAGCGCCACACCCACAACCTTCACGCCCCCTATTAAGACTAAAGCAGGCCAGGTGCAGTGGCTCACATCTGTGATCCCAGAACTTTGGGAGATCGACACAGGAGGATCACTCGAGGCTAAGAGTTGATCAGCCTGGGCAAAATAGTAAGACCCCTGTCTCTACTAAAGTTAGCTGAGTGTGGCGGCACACTCCTGCAGTCCCAGCTACTCGGGAGACTGAGGCTCACACCCAGGAGTTGGAGGCTTCAATGAGCTGTGACTGTGCCACTATACTCCAGCCTGGACAACACAGCAAGACCCTCTCAACAAAAAAAGAGAAAACACTGGAGTAGCCCCCAGAAATCTCACTAAAAAAATAAGCTGACAGACAATACACCAGGGGCCTGCAGCCCCCGGTCACTGGAAAACACATGGTTTGTGTTAATTCTCAAGAACTATGACCCACCTGTGTCCAGGACGTATCAGGACCCTCTTGTCCTTCCTCTGTTCTGCCTTCCCCGACGGGTTGGCTTTTAACTGCCCTGTTGACATGGGATTTCTTCATGAGCTGCTTCAATTCCTGGGTGGTCCCAGTGATTCCAGTTTGTTAGATGAAATTGGCGAGCTCTCCATCAGCAAGTGTCCAGTGGGCATCTGTTGGGGATAAAGCCCTTCTCAGAACCACTGAAAATGCAAAGGAACAGAAGTCCTGCTCAGGAGCCCACAGCCCCACAGGGCAGAGAAGCCTGTAGACACACACAGCTGGGAATGAGCCAGAGAGGAGAGCTACGAGCAGGGAAAGGCAGGATGTCCTCTGGGTTTGTTGACTGACCTTGACACAGACTAGAAGGGCTGGGGTTGGAATCTTTTTTTGTTTTTTATTATTATTATTTTTGAAATGGAGTTTCACTCTTGTTGCCTAGGCTGGAGTGCAGTGGCATGATCTCTGCTCATCACAACTTCCACCTCCCGAGTTCAAGCAATTCTCTTGCCTCAGCCTCCTGAGTAGCTGGGATTACAGGCATGCACCACTACGCCCAGCTAATTTTGTATTTTTAGTAGAGACAGGGTTTCTCCATGCTGGTCAGGCTGGTCTCGAACTCCCAACCTCAGGTGATCCACCCACCTCAGCCCCCCAAAGTGCTGGGATTACAGGTGTGAGCCACCGCGCCAAGCCTGCTGAGGTTGGAATCTTTTACTGCAGTGCCCCCTCTCCGTAATAGCCTCAGCAAAAGCCCTTGCATTTCTGCTTCCAGGCACAAATCTGCCTGCATGTGTGTTCACTTTCTCTGCCTAACAAGGGAGCAGTGCCCAGCGCTCCTGGAAAGCCAGCCCTCCTGCCATCACTTGATGCCCCCCTACCCCAGCAGAGCTCCACTCACCGCCTCACCTCCGGTCACGACGCTCCTGCTTTTACCCTCTGCATGGACATCCTAGCGTCCTGTTCCCCAGCTCTCAGCAGCCCTCCCTTTCAACACAGCCCCTTCTCCCAGCTTCTACAGCACCACACACTGCTGACTCCTCCCCTCTCCCTGACATCCTGCTAGTGATGACGTGCCCAAGCTCAGCCCGCCACCCTTTTCTATGTACTTTCCCCCTAGGTCGTATTACCTGGACCCGAGACTTTTTTTTTTTTTTTTTTTCCCTTTTTTGAGACAGAGACTCACTCTGTTCCCAAGGCTGGAGTGCAGTGGCATAATCTCAGCTCACTGCAACCCCTGCCTCCCGGGTTCAAGCGATTCTCCTGCCTCAGCCTCCCGAGTAGCTGGGACCACAGGTACATGCCACCATGCCTGGCTAATTTTTTGTGTTTTTAGTAGAGACAGGGTTTCACTGTGTTAGCCAGGATGGTCTTGATCATGTACCACTTGATCTCTAGACTCTTTCCAGCCTGCAGAAGGGGCCCTCTCTTCTCTGTTAAAGCTGCCTATCACTGCTCCCTTGCTTAAAGATGATGCCGAGACCTGGGCCTT